CGATACTTCATTTCGTAAAGTTTCACCTGGAATCCCTGCGGACGCCCTACTACAACACCCACCCTGATTTCCCATTTTTAATATTTGGTCCTTTCGTACTAAAATATTATAATTTTTTAAGATAGAAACCAACCTATTATGCTTATGCCGGTTTGAACGCAGAACTCGGTTACAAAACAGGTTGGATAGACTAAAATACCGCCAAATTTTTTAAGTTTCAAGAACTTATCTATTACTACTTAAGTATTAATATTTACATTTTAAATAATAGGGTATCTAATCCTAGTTTTTAATTAAAATTTTTAAGCTTCAATTATTTATTTTATAAAAAATTTAAATTTAAAATTTCACTTAATAAATTTAATTATTTTTAATTTAAATCAATTTAACTTTTACTAAAAAAATTCATTTGTATAATTGGTATAACCGCGATTGCTGGCACCAATTTAATCTATACTTTTTAATATTGCTATTTCTAAATTTCTTTAATTAATAAAATTAATTACTGCGATTATAATAAATATAATAATTTTTAAAATTAATATAAATTCACACAAAAATTTACATATAAATCAAATTAATAACAAATTTTTAAGCCAAAATAAAACTTTATAAATTCATTTAAAAAAAATTTATTTTTATATTAATTAATAAAATTTAATTTTAATAATTAATTTTTAAATAAATTTTAAGATAATTAAATAAATTTATAAATAAACTTATTTAATCACTAGAATCTAAAATATCAAAAATAAACCCCTATTAATTTAATTTTCATTTAAAAAAAAAAATGAAAATTAAATATTATTTTATTTTTATATATTAATTCTTAAATTTTTAAAAAATTACATAATTAAAAAACAATTCATTTCTTTAATAATATTACATTTTAGTATTATATTAATACAATTAATTAATTATATTAATAAATTTTAAAAATTACAAAATTTAATAAATTAATAAATTTAATAAATAAATTATTAAAACATAATTAATTTTAATAATGTATTTAAAAATAAAAAAAAATATAATATAAAAAATTCATTAAATAAATAATTTTAATTAAAAAATAAACACCAATAACATAATTAAATTATAGTCAATTTTAAGTCTATTAAAAAATCTTTCTATTTTTTTTTTTTTTTTGCAATTTACCAAAATATAGGTATAAAGAAAATATATCTATTTTTAAATTAATAAATTTAAAAAAAAATTTTTGTATACTAAGTCTAGATTAATAGATAATCTATATATATATAAATGTTTAATATATTATTATATAGCTAACAATTTAAATAAAAAATTTCGCAATCCAAAAATAATTACAAATATAATAAAAAAAAATCTATATTTTAAAGATTTATCTAATGATTCTTTTGATTTATATAAATTAATATAAATTTTATAAATTATTATATATTTATATATTTATATATTGTTGAAGATTTATTAATTTATATAGATCTATATAGAAATTTTTAATTATTCTTAAACATTTATATATAAAATTAAAATTACTACTAAAATGTATTATTTAATTAAAAATATTCCAATGTAAAAAATTCAAGATTTTTTTTAAAAATATTAGTAAATACAAAAAAAAAAAAAAAAAAATAGATGTGATCTTATTGTAAATGAATTGCCTGATGAAAAGGATTACCTTGATAGGGTAAATTATGTAGAATTCTACATTCATTGATTAATTTTATTGTTTTTTTTACAAAGACTTTATATTTAATAGAATTAAACTATTGCTAAAAGTATCAAAAACTTTTGTGCATCGTACACCAAAATATAAAAAGGTAAGCTAATTAAGCTACTGGGTTCATACCCCATTTATAAAGGTTCTAACCCTTTTCTTTTTAATTTTTAATAATTCTTCAAAAATTTTATTTATCACAATAATAATTATCGGAACATTAATTACGGTAACCTCTAATTCTTGGTTAGGAGCATGAATAGGTTTAGAAATTAATTTGTTATCTTTTATTCCCCTAATAAGAGATAATAATAATTTTAAATCAACTGAAGCTTCTTTAAAATATTTTTTAACCCAAGCTTTAGCTTCAACTGTTTTATTATTCTCAGTAATTTTATTAATACTAAATAACAGAATAACTATCGAAATCAATAACTCTTTTACTTCAATAATTATTTTATCAACTTTATTATTAAAAAGAGGAGCCGCCCCTTTCCATTTTTGATTCCCTAATTTAATAGAAGGTTTAACTTGAATAAATGCTCTCCTTTTAATAACATGACAAAAAATTGCCCCTTTAATACTAATTTCTTACTTAAATTTAAAAAATTTATTATTAATTAGAGTAATTTTTTCAGTAATTGTTGGGGCAATCGGAGGTTTAAATCAAACATCTTTACGAAAACTTATAGCTTTTTCTTCTATTAATCATTTAGGGTGGATATTAAGAGCATTAATAATTAATGAATCAATTTGATTAATTTATTTTTTATTTTATTCCTTTTTATCTTTTATTTTAACTTTTATATTTAATATTTTTAAATTATTTCATTTAAACCAATTATTTTCTTGGTTTATACAAAGAAAAGTTATAAAATTTACTTTATTTATAAATTTTTTATCCTTAGGAGGATTACCCCCATTTTTAGGATTTTTACCAAAATGAGTTGTAATTCAACAATTAACTTTCTGTAACCAATATTTTCAGTTAATAATTTTATTGACATCAACTTTAATTACATTATTTTTTTATCTACGAATTTGTTATTCAGCATTTATGCTAAATTACTACGAAAATAACTGGGTTATTAGCTCACAAATCAATAATTTTAGTATAAAATTATACTTAATATGTACATTTTTATCAATTTTTGGACTATTTTTAATTTCAATATTTTATTCTATATTTTAGGTTAAAGGCTTTAAGTTAAATAAAACTAATAGCCTTCAAAGCTGTAAATATAGGAAGTCCTTTAAGCCTTAGTAAAAAATTACTCCTTCAAAATTGCAGTTTGACGTCATTATTGACTATAAGACCAGATTCATTTTATGATTTAATAAAATTTACTAATCAATTGATTAAGAAGAAAATTTCTTATAAATAGATTTACAATCTATCGCCTAACTTCAGCCACTTAATCGCTTAATCGCGACAATGGTTATTCTCAACAAATCATAAAGATATTGGAACATTATATTTTATCTTCGGTGCTTGAGCAGGAATAGTAGGAACATCTTTAAGAATTTTAATTCGAGCTGAATTAGGTCACCCAGGAGCTTTAATTGGAGATGATCAAATTTATAATGTTATTGTTACTGCTCATGCTTTTGTTATAATTTTTTTCATAGTTATACCAATTATAATTGGAGGATTCGGTAATTGACTTGTACCTTTAATATTAGGAGCTCCTGATATAGCTTTCCCCCGAATAAACAATATAAGATTTTGACTATTACCTCCTGCTTTATCCTTACTTTTAGTTAGAAGAATAGTTGAAAATGGAGCTGGGACAGGATGAACCGTATACCCCCCATTATCGGCAGGAATTGCTCATGGAGGAGCTTCTGTTGATCTAGCTATTTTTTCTTTACATTTAGCTGGAATCTCTTCAATTTTAGGAGCTGTAAATTTCATTACAACTGTAATTAATATACGATCTTCGGGAATTACTTTAGACCGAATACCTTTATTTGTTTGATCAGTTGTAATTACAGCTTTATTACTACTTTTATCCTTACCAGTTTTAGCCGGAGCTATCACTATATTATTAACAGACCGAAATCTTAACACCTCATTTTTTGACCCGGCTGGTGGAGGGGATCCAATTTTATATCAACACTTATTTTGATTTTTTGGTCACCCAGAAGTTTATATTTTAATTTTACCTGGATTTGGAATAATTTCTCATATTATTAGTCAAGAATCAGGTAAAAAGGAAACTTTTGGGTCTTTAGGAATAATTTATGCAATATTAGCAATTGGATTATTAGGATTTATTGTATGAGCACATCATATATTTACAGTTGGAATAGACGTAGACACTCGAGCTTACTTCACATCAGCAACAATAATTATTGCTGTACCAACAGGTATTAAAATTTTTAGTTGACTTGCTACTTTACATGGTACACAACTTTCTTACTCTCCAGCTATTTTATGAGCTTTAGGATTTGTATTTTTATTTACAGTTGGAGGATTAACTGGAGTTGTATTAGCAAATTCATCAGTAGATATTATTTTACATGACACATACTATGTTGTTGCTCACTTTCATTATGTTTTATCAATAGGAGCTGTATTTGCTATTATAGCAGGATTTGTTCATTGATACCCTTTATTTACTGGTTTAACTATAAATAATAAGTGATTAAAAAGTCAATTTATTATTATATTTATTGGAGTAAATCTTACTTTTTTCCCCCAACATTTCCTTGGACTAGCTGGAATACCTCGTCGTTATTCTGATTACCCAGACGCTTACACAACATGAAATGTAATTTCAACTATTGGTTCATCTATTTCTTTATTAGGAATTTTATTTTTTTTCTACATTATTTGAGAAAGTTTAGTTTCTCAACGTCAGGTTATTTACCCTATTCAATTGAATTCTTCAATTGAATGATACCAAAATACTCCCCCTGCTGAACATAGATATTCTGAATTACCTTTATTAACTAATTAATTTCTAATATGGCAGATTAGTGCAATGGATTTAAGCTCCATATATAAAGGATTTTTACTTTTATTAGAAAATTAATGTCAACATGAGCTAATTTAGGTCTTCAAGATAGAGCTTCTCCTTTAATAGAACAATTAATTTTTTTTCATGACCACGCATTACTGATTTTAGTAATAATTACTGTTTTAGTAGGATATTTAATATTTATATTATTTTTTAATAATTATATTAACCGTTTTCTTTTACATGGTCAGTTAATTGAAATAATTTGAACAATTTTACCAGCTATTATTCTACTATTTATTGCATTCCCTTCCTTACGATTATTATACCTTCTTGATGAAATTAATGAACCTTCAGTAACTTTAAAAAGAATTGGTCATCAATGATACTGAAGTTATGAATATTCAGACTTTAATAATGTTGAATTTGACTCATACATAATTCCTACAAATGAAATTGCAAATGATGGATTTCGTTTATTAGATGTAGATAACCGAATTGTTTTACCTATAAATTCACAAATTCGAATTTTAGTAACTGCCGCTGATGTGATTCACTCATGAACAATCCCTGCATTAGGAGTAAAAGTTGATGGAACTCCTGGACGTTTAAATCAAACTAATTTTTTTATTAACCGCCCAGGATTATTTTACGGCCAATGTTCAGAAATTTGTGGGGCTAACCATAGTTTTATACCAATTGTAATTGAAAGAGTTCCTGTAAATTATTTTATTAAATGAATTTCTAATAATTTAAATTCTTCATTAGATGACTGAAAGCAAGTACTGGTCTCTTAAACCATTTTATAGTAAATTAGCACTTACTTCTAATGAATTAAAAAATTAGTTAAATTTATAACATTAGTATGTCAAACTAAAATTATTAAACTGTTAATATTTTTTAATTCCACAAATAGCACCTATCAAATGATTAACTTTATTTTTTATTTTTTCTATCACTTTTATTTTATTTTGTTCTATTAATTATTACGCATATATGCCTTCTTCCCCTAAATCAAATGAATTAAAAAATATTAATTTAAATTCTATAAATTGAAAATGATAACAAATTTATTTTCTGTATTTGACCCTTCAGCTATTTTTAGTTTATCATTAAATTGAATAAGTACATTTTTAGGTCTTTTAATAATTCCTTCAATTTATTGATTAATACCTTCTCGTTATAATGTATTTTGAAATACAATCTTATCAACTCTTCATAAAGAATTTAAAACTCTTTTAGGACCATCAGGTCATAATGGATCAACTTTTATTTTTATTTCTTTATTTTCTCTTATCCTTTTTAATAATTTTATAGGATTGTTTCCTTATATTTTCACAAGAACAAGTCATTTAACATTAACTCTTTCATTAGCTTTACCTTTATGATTATCTTTTATAATTTATGGATGAATTAACCACACCCAACATATATTCGCCCATTTAGTCCCTCAAGGAACTCCAGCAGTTTTAATACCTTTTATGGTTTGTATTGAAACTATCAGAAATGTAATCCGACCAGGAACTTTAGCAGTTCGACTAACTGCTAATATAATTGCAGGCCACTTATTATTAACTTTATTAGGAAATACAGGACCTTCAATATCATATATATTAGTTACTTTTTTATTGGTCGCTCAAATTGCTTTATTAGTCCTTGAATCAGCCGTTGCTATAATTCAATCTTACGTATTTGCTGTATTAAGAACTTTATATTCTAGAGAAGTTAATTAATTATTTATATATATATATATATATATATATTTATAAATAAATGTCTACACATTCAAATCACCCCTTCCATTTAGTTGATTATAGTCCATGACCATTAACAGGAGCAATTGGAGCTATAACTACTGTTTCAGGAATAATTAAATGATTTCATCAATACGACACATCTTTATTTTTTTTAGGTAATATTATTACAATTTTAACTGTTTACCAATGATGACGAGATGTTTCTCGAGAAGGAACATACCAAGGTCTTCATACTTACCCTGTAACAATTGGTTTACGATGAGGTATAATTTTATTTATTTTATCAGAAATTTTATTTTTTGTAAGTTTCTTTTGAGCATTTTTTCATAGAAGTTTATCCCCTGCAATCGAATTAGGGGCATCATGGCCTCCTGCTGGAATTATTTCTTTTAACCCTTTCCAAATTCCCCTATTAAATACTGCAATTTTATTAACATCAGGAGTTACAGTTACATGAGCTCATCATAGATTAATAGAAGGTAATCATTCACAAACTACTCAAGGATTATTTTTTACCGTTCTTTTAGGAGTTTATTTCACTATACTTCAAGCCTATGAATATATTGAAGCTCCTTTTACAATTGCTGACTCCGTTTACGGATCTACTTTTTTTATGGCTACTGGATTCCATGGAGTTCATGTTCTTATTGGAACAACATTTTTATTAATTTGTTTACTTCGACATTTAAATAATCATTTCTCTAAAAGACATCATTTTGGTTTTGAAGCAGCAGCTTGATATTGACATTTTGTTGATGTAGTTTGATTATTTTTATATATCACAATTTACTGATGAGGAGGTTAATAGATTAATTATATCAATATAGTATAAAAGTATATATGACTTCCAATCATAAGGTCTATAAATTATAGTATTGATAATTTTTTCAATTCTTGTTATTGCCTCAGTAATTATAATAATTTCATTTATTGTTATAATCTTAGCTTCAATCTTATCTAAAAAAACTTTAGTTGACCGTGAAAAAAGATCACCATTTGAATGTGGATTTGACCCTAAATCATCTTCCCGACTTCCTTTCTCTTTACGATTTTTTTTAATTACAATTATTTTTTTAATTTTTGATGTAGAAATTGCTCTTATTCTTCCTATAATTATTATTTTTAAATTTTCAAATTTAATAATTTGAACAATTACTTCAATTATTTTCATTTTAATTTTATTAATTGGTTTATACCATGAATGAAACCAAGGTATATTAAATTGATCAACTTAAAAATTATAGGGTTGTAGTTAATTATAACATTTGATTTGCATTTAAAAAGTATTGAATTTTCAATCTACCTTATTTAATAGCCCGAATATGAAGCGATATATTGCATTTAGTTTCGACCTAATCTTAGGTAATTTTACCCTTATTCTTTAATTGAAGCCAAAAAGAGGCTTATCACTGTTAATGATAGAATTGAGTAAATACTCCAATTAAGGAAGTATGGTGATCAAGTAAAAGCTGCTAACTTTTTTCTTTTAATGGTTAAATTCCATTTATACTTCTATTTATATAGTTTAAAGTAAAACTTTACATTTTCATTGTAAAAATAAAATTATTATTATTTTTATAAATTACTAAAATAAATTCACTATATTTAAAGATTAATTAATCTCCCCAACATCTTCAGTGTTGTACTCTAAGTATAAGCTATCTAAATATAAAAATAATAAAAAATTTATTAAAATTAAAATTCAAAAAACAAATAATATTAAATAAATTTTTAAATTATTATTATGAATTAAAAATAAAGTTTGAGAATAATTTATTAATTTTTGATACAAATGTTGACCCCCGAAATATTCTGATCAACCCTGATCAAATCTTTTTCTGTTGGGTATATTATTATTTTATAGTGGAACTAATAAGGAAACTCTAGCGGATTCAATGGTGCTTCTTTTATTACGCATCTGTGCGACTACATTGTTCGATAGATCGTAAGCGACAGACAGTGGTATACTTAAGAATGAATACCACGAACAGAAAACAAACGACCTAAGTGTGACCAGGATTCAAATATAAGTTGTTGCCGAAAACTTATTCATGTTTCAATACTCCTTCTCAACAATTATATACTTGAAATCTTATTAATAACAATTCATTTCCTTAATACATTTCACATGTTTGTTCTTTTGCAAATATTTACTTAGTACATCGGCAACCATATCATTAGTACATATATATTTAACATCGATCGCAATACAATAAAATAGGCTTGGTTACTATAAATACCATTTCATGCAACAATTTTTTGAGATATTGTGCTTCCCTTGCTGCGGTAGATAAGGCAATATATTCGGCTTCAGTACTGCTTAACGCCACCAGACTTTATTCGCTACCGAATGTAGTTTGTCCGGCCTGGTTATTATGGCCAAATACATCAAAGAGCCTATCTATGATTGGCCTATGATTGGTAACTCTTTTCATTTAGCATCTCGCAGTTACCGTCATCACACTTGACTTGGTGACCTGCATCCAGTGGTGTACCTACAGGCCTACACGTTGACATGCCCCGATAGTTATGCTGCCAGTCTCCCCTTCGCGCTCAATTTCTATGTCCGAGAAATGATTTAGCTGGCCGCCATCAACAACGTAAAATTCACTGGCAGTGGACGCTTTGATTTTTAACAATTCGTCTTTATTTGAGCTGGCAAGTAAAAGATCATCAACATAAACTGCAATTATATTAATTTTACCTTGCCCATTGCGTATATATACACAGGACTCGCTGACATATGGAGTTAAACCCAGTTTCCTCAAGACTGCGTACATAGCCCATAGAGATTTTTTTAGCTTCAAGACTTTATCATTGAATTCATCGCTTAGAAATCCGCCCGGCTGTTTCATATAACCTTCCTTTGAAAGTTCACTATTCAGGTAGGCAGTAGACTCGTCCATCTGATGCACATTCAACTTATGTTCGACTGCCAATGACATAACTGGAGAGAACGTCTGCGCACACCCTTTTGGCCACTAATCTTGACTTAAAGCGCTCTACATAGCCTTCCTTGTCAGTTTTTATGCCAAAAACCCATATGCCAAAAACCTTATTCGCTGGCAAATCCACAAGCTCCCATGTCTTATTGGCTTCAACTGCCTTTATATCCTTCTGAATCGATGGTGACCATTCTCGGCTCATTTCTGATTCATTTGCGTCGCTAACATTTTCAGGAATGACGATTTCCTCTGTCTTCAGCATATTCAGGTAATTATACTGCTTACCGGATCTACCTGGTTTTCCAGTTTTTATCTTTCGTGGACGCCCTGGACCACGAGCTTCACAGTTTACGGGCGTCTCATCATCATTACTTAGTGCACTCTCATGCTCGTCAGTATCTTCCTTTTCAGTATGTTGTCCTCCAATTTCAATCTTTGCCTATGTCAGCAGGACATTCTCAGCCTCAGCCTGCTGATTAACTGTTAAACAATCATTAAACAGCACTTTTTCCTTTTTATCGCTTGCAGATCCACCTAAGTTACTTTCTATAAAAATAACTTCTCTGCTTTCGATAACTTTCTTCGACTCTGGACAAAATATGCGATATGCTTTTGCTGCCATCGAATATCCAATCATTATATATTCGATTCCCTTCGGACCGAACTTATTTCTGTGCCCCTTATTTAAGACAATTACTTTTCAGCCGAAGACCTTCAAATGCGAGTCCAAACCTCTTGCCAGTCCAAACCTTAAATGATGTTTTGTTAGCCAATATCTTGGTTTCTGACCTGTTGGGTTAGTAGGCTGCAATTCTTACTGCCTCACCCTATAGTGTTTCATCTACACCCCAGTGTCCTAGCATACTTCAGGCCATCTCTACCAGTGTGCGATTTGCTCGCTCAGCAACTCTGTTTTGCTGCGGAGTGTAGGGTACCGTCAGTTGTCTTTTAATTCCGTATGCCGACAAGAATTTTTCAAATTCATGACTAACATACTCGCGCCCGTTATCGCTACTAATCGTTTTTACCTTTTTGCCGCATTGTCTCTCGGCAAACACAG